CTGGGCCAGTCTCCTGCCGCTGCTTAGTTATCCAGCCAAGCTGGGGACATCAGCGCGTGTCCTTGACAACCTGGCAGCGGCCACGATTCGCTCCCTTCTGCCGCTCAGGTACCCGCGCTCTCACCAACCGTGGGCCAGTCGTCGTACATCTGGCTCCGTGCACGCAGACCGCCGAACCACTGTCACCTTCACTTCGCTGTCTCTCGCATAGCCTCGAGCGTCGTCGTTGCTGCCGTCTGATCAGCTTAGCCGTGCTGCCTTCGCGTAACCTTCACCTTCAGCCAACACGAACGTGTCATTTGTAGGATACCAACCCTCCATCTTCTCACCACCAACGGCTACTAACGCCGCTGGCTACTAACCAGAGCTCGATGACCAGACAAGAGCCAGGTTCTTGAACTTTGCAAGGCCAGGCGACTAACCGCCCTTCTGCATAACAGACCCCTTTCCGACCCCCTGGTTATACGGAGCACCATTACTCTGTGCGCATGCGAGTCGGCCGGTGTCGGGACGGCCCCATCCTGACGCGGTACACCACAGCACTGTCTGGAAGAACTGGGGCGGCAGATAAACTAGCAAAATGCAGCCTCATCAAGGAAAGGAGAATGTGACCAATGGGCACGTGGTCCGCTCAGGCCAGCCCCCTGCCGTGGACGCCCAGCGGGGGACGCCACCACCACCATAGGCTAGGCCGATGGTACGATCCAGTAGAGGATCAGTTGAGGGGCCCACCGCCACGGTGATGGAAACACGCACAGCTGAAGAACCACCAATGGTACGTCTGACCCTGCACCAATGGTGTGGCAATTGGGTCGCTGCTAAGAACGAAATCCAGGTGCTATCAGTGTCGGCAACCCAAACACCTGCACCGGATATGCACGAACCAGACGGTTGGGCAGTTACAAATTACATCCGGAAGGGAACGTTGTGGATGAGGCAGAGCTTGCATCATGGTCCAGACCCGATTCTACCACGACGCCCACGCGTTCAAATCAATGCAGGTACAGCGATGCAAGTTCACCATTTTTGCTGGCCAAAGGATTTGAACCTGGGAGTGGTGGAAAAAGAGACCAGAAGAAAAAGACACCAGAAGATAACTGATGGTTGGGGTCGCTCTAACCTTCGTCCAGTATGGTGGGGTTAACTGTGGCAGGCATGATTCAGACCGCAGTATAGCAACTCTGGATGGTACTCCTGCAGCGCATTTTGCACATCTTCAAAGGATTCGTCGACTTCAATACCGTACCTGAAACACATGCGCAGGTTTTTATTTGCGATTGCGTCCCAGAAGTGGCAAATGAATGCACCCCCCCCAGGACGGCCACAATCCTCAGGGAAATCAACAGGCTCACCGCCGTATGACATGTCTGTTCCGACACATTCTTCCACCGGGGCTTCCACCCTTGACAGCACTTTCGGCCAAGGGAAATCACAGGTCGTCGGCCTTTCGGCCTTGCATTTACCGCTCGCCCGGCAGACTTTGAACGGGCTGTTTGATTGACCGCGGAACCAGGAGATGTCTTCAAATTTGAGCTGAGTCCCCATCAGAAAGCACCTCTTCTTAGGGTCGCTTTTACTCGTCAGACAATAAGGCACACCTTTAACACAGTGGGTATGTCTCAAGTTAGTTTCACGGACACAGGGCGGGATCGTGCATCCACCTTTCACCCGGCAAAAGTCTACCCTCCTGTGTCGAGATATGAACTTGGAGAGTCTTTTGCGCATATTTTCAGCCCCGGACCAGCTTTTTCTCTGACACTTCTTCTCAGGTTTGGCTGTATCCAGCACGCATAAAGCGAAACCCTC